ATTTTATGAGCATTGCCAATTTTTGAAAAGGTCAAAAGAAATTTGAATGTTCACGTAAACAAAAACACAACTGTTGCCAATTTTACATTACTTATCTAATCCGCTGTTTTAAATCACCTCAAAAAGTATCTGACTAAACGTTTTGTATCAAATATCATGCTTTTGCATTTTGTTCGTATCTGATTGCAAAATAGATTTCGAGTGACTGCATTAATGGAGTAACAGATTATATACTGTTAGTTTGACATACATCTTTGATGCATTTAATTTACCAATGAAATAATTTTTACACACATTCAGAGTCATGGCTGTGTGGCCATATTTAAAACAAGCACTTAAGAGTACCTTGAGAATTCCACGCTTCAGTAGCGCTTCAAATAAGAAATTGCTTTAATATGTACGTAGGTACTCTGTATAGGATCTTGCTCTTTAGTATTCAGCGAGGGCAATCAATGATTATAGAGCAAAAAAAGTCGACCCAATTTATAATGTATATTTCTTTTATGTCAACACAGAATGAAAAGTTTCTGTTTAAATGTTATACTGCTTTCATTTTTCAGTCTGCTTTTAACTATTACCATCCAGAAAGAAAGGTTACAGTTTATATCAATGAAAATTTACCTGAAAATTACTAACATCAGGGGTTTTGTTTCCTTGTACAGGAAAGGGCCATTAAATGCTTGTTTACCCTAGTGAACAGTGTTGTACTTTATAGCAGATTTTTTTTCCCATTTAAAATTATTGGTTATTATATTTCCATGAAAATTACCAGAATCGTGAAGGCATGCTGCTTTAATGTTTATAATGTTACAGAATACTGGCAGTGAATACATGTAGTTGTGGGTCATTAACATACACCTGTAAATAGATTGCATTGACATTTCAGAATGAAAATCAGATAGGAGAGAAAAAAATTGCTTAGAACAATAAAATCACCTTAGCTTTATTGATTTGATAGAGAGCTCTGGAATTAATGTGTAGCCGAATACTGTTAGATGGTTGAATCTTACACATAAGCATAATATGTAGGTTGATAGGTTTTTAGGGGATTGTAGCTAAAAAAATTTATTTTTATTAAGTGAAGTTTAGATTCAGGGCATGGCATTATTCAGAAGTGTAACTGTTAAGTGAGATAATGATTCCAAAAAAAAGGTCATTTGTACCATAACTTCCCATCTTTCGCCTTTTACCCTCACCTTTCTGCCTCCGGACCTTCAATTACTAATATCATCTTGAAACTATATTTGAAAAAGAGGGTTATGAATGAGTTATAAGAGGTTGGGAGTGGTCACATGATTACATGACTGTAAACGTTATAACTTACCTAGTATTAAGTAGATGTGATCATGTCTCTTTTTGTATACAATAGAACAATTTTACCACACAGTACAATATCGTACAGTGTACCCAGTTTAACTCAAGAGGACTTGAAACAATGAATGGTCTTCTTCTAAGTACAAGGTGGTTGAGATATGATCTTATGTGAAACTTCTTAAAAGAACAGTCTTTGTACTGTTGTACATAGTTAAAACTAGATTTTAAGAGGAAAAAATACAAATAAGGCAACATTGTGAATCTTGAGAAAATTAAAACGCTAACAATTACATACCAAGTAAATATAATTATAGACATGTTCAGTCAGTACTTTTAAAGCATCATCAAGTCTGTTTGCTATTCAATCAATACTTGTGCTGAACTTTTCCCGAAAAGTGATAAATGGTTTTGTCCAAATTGAAAGATGGACATTTGACAAGTCAATTTTAGATATCAACATGGCAAGTGTTCAACTTAAAGAATATTATTTTCCTGACATGTTTGATTTTTATTTACAACAAAATGAATATTCATCTGATGATCTACACAAGGTTATAAGCTTCATTGTTAACCCTGCTGGAACCGAGTTATTGCTGCCTTAATCACAAGTAATAGAACCAGGCCAGCCTATATTACAATACATCAATGCAGTCTGACCAGGCTCTATACTGTTGGCATGACAACTTTTAAATTTTCATCATGATATCTCCTTTATTGAGTCATAATGGAAACTTCAAAAAATTGAAGCTGGACAAATCCATTTATGAAATTAAGCAGGTTAAAAAAAGACTTGTCCCTATGAGAATAAAGATTGATGCATGATTAGAGTTCATTCTCAGAGCTCCAGATAATTTTTTTGGCCAAGGGGTTTTTACCCCTCAAAATTTAGAGTGAGGGGTAAAATGCAAATTCTGAAAAACTTAAGGGGTAAAATCTGTCAAAAAAAGCATTTTGCATTTTTTATAAACAAATTAAACTTATTGTTTTGTTTGTTTGTTTGTTTATTTTCTTTTTTTTTTAGAAAAACCTTTACAAATTAAATACTGATTTAATGTGAAACAATACAAAACATGACATGTAAAGTCAGACTTCCAGAGTATACTGGAACTCAAGTTTAGGATACACAGCAAAATTATCAGGGCTTCCATTTTCAAAATTTGGAAGTCAAAGACTTCAAAATCTCTTATATTGGAAGTCACATTATATAATTACAGAAGGAAAAGTAACGATTTTTGGAAGTCACAGGCCAAAATGAAGGAATAAATGTCTCCAAACTTACACTAGTGGAAGCCCTGAAATTATTTTATTTTCCAGGAGTCAATATTTTTCTTTCTTTATTTCTGTCGGCATGTACCTTATCATGTACTCCAGTTTGAACAATTATAGTTGAAATTAGAATTAAAGAAACATTAACAAGATTTTTTTTTATCTTTCCTTAAAAAAAAGTATTGGTCTGAGAGAAAATTGTCCGTAACTGTAGACTGGGTACGAAAATATTGAGTACAAAACTGCAGGTGAAAAACATGTTATTTTGTTCCAACAACAAAAGTTGAAGAAATTAAAATATATTTTTGTTTATATTGAGGCATAGGCATGTCAATAGATGCCTAAACAAACATAATACTGTGTTAACTCCTACGATGATTATCATTTCATCAATAATTTCACAAGTTGATCTACGGGAGTTACCTCTCTTCTGTATTTCCTGCTACTTTCGTTTTTAACATGCGTTGTTGACAACAGAATTTTTAGTTTTCAATGCAATAAAATGGAAATATATTGTATTTTTATGCTCAAAACATTTTCTTTTTACATATCAAAAAACACACTTCTATTCTTTCACGCATAAATTTTGACATAGGAGCGTATTTTCATTTTGTTGTGGGTAACTGTGACGCACCAATTTTAAAAGTGATGCGTATTTTAGATTTTCTATGCGTATTTTACGCTTATACGCACGCTATCTGGAGCTCTGCATTCTCAGCAATATGGTTTTGTAACTATAAGAGAGCCTTAACTGGTAATTGCAGTTCTAATTGGATAACCATATGTAGACAAACAGATGAAAGAGGCCTAACAATATGTAGACAAACAGATGAAAGAGGCCTTGTATAAGGTTACTGACTGAAATACATGCTCATATAGAATGTTGTTGAAAAAAAATAATGTAAGAGAACTTGACCTGGTATTACCACTTAAATATCTAATGAAAGCTTTGATAGGTCAGTAAGTAATTTTATTTGACATTTTAGGATTTTAGTTCAATTGAAATAGATTTGTTTGTGAGGTTTTCCCTGTTGTTAGATAGAAAGCTAGACAGCAGTAGGGTTATTATGATTGAGACACTTACATTTTTTTCTGGTAAAGAAAGGTTACAAATGTACATTGAAAAAATGTATGTGTTATTCAACTTGTTGTGTTTTATGAAGGCTTATGTAAACTGATATGATTTCTTATAATAAAAAAAGTAATGTTTATATATTTTTGATGCCTGGGATGTGGTTAATAGGCTTGTATTTGATCAAATAAGCCTTGCCAACTTCATTTAAACCATCGCTTAATTGAAATCTCTACCAGTTGAATGTACATGTATGACATGAGAAAAATGTGAAGTTCCGGGACCCTCATATAAATACATATATAATTATGATCCCCTGATTAATTGAAAATCTTTGAAATTCCTTTCAAAATGGATATGCCAAGGGCTTCCTTAAGTGGAAGTTTAATAGCAGTCCATACTGTATCTGTATTTAAAGCAATATATCTACAGTATAAAAGGTGTTGGGATGAATCAGAACGATATAATTATTATACATCGCTTAATAAAGAATTCAAATTAGTCCCCAACACTAGTATTGACAATATTTTGCCAACAGAAGCAGAATATGGTTCATGTAAATTGTAATTGGCCAATGATTAACTCTTTGGAAACTATAAACAATGAATAAAAATCTTTTGCTTTATAGAATTAAAAATTAAAGCTTTTCTGTGGCATAATGGGCCTTTAATTTTTTTTCAAATGCACTTTTAGCTTATATCCTGTTTTCCTCATGAGATGCTCTTAGGCATGACTCATGATCACTCGGAAAAACATGTAGGCATTGTGACCCCTCAGTCATCTTTATCATATCCCATATCCGATAAAAATGACACCTACATGCTTGTAATTGAATGTTTTAATTCTTGGATATGTTTAAGTTGTTATAGTTACATGTACTCATAGAGTATCATATAAGTACATCAGTCAGTGGTATGTTTGTGCTGTTAGACTTTTTTCAGTGTAACAGGATCTAGATTAAAAAAAGCATTGTGAAGTGGTTATCATAAAAGATGAGTGTACATGTACAGTAAATAAATAAACCCCTCAATATTGTTGTGTGAGAATCCTTGAAATACTCAACCCTGTTTTATTATGTTAATAGCTGAAAGTTATACTGATTCCGAGTAAAAGAATTTTAAACCCTGGCACTGCTAAAGTTGCATGATTGCCTTTCTTTTAAGTTTATTTGGGAGTCTGATTGATTTGGGCGTGTCGGGGCATATAGACTTTACCTCGTCTCTTGGTCATGTTGCCAGACTGTCCATCTTTAGACGGACAGTACAGTGGAATGTAGATGTATTGTGCTGTATGGACACATTTCTAGCCTAACATATTTCTGATACTATTTATTTTTCTATATTTTCAGAAAAACAACCAAAAGAATTTCCTTGACTTTTCGAATTTATGGGGTAAAAATGATGATGCAGCACCGGCTTCCGGGACAAATGCTGATTTTACCTTAGTAAGTATTAACTATCAAAGAAAGACAGAGCCAAATAAAAAAGTTCTCTTTTTTGTCTCCTTACCTATCCTCTTTAACTGCTGACCCTTGACTTTTGATTTGCCTTGCCTCTTTTTCAAAATCTGAACTTAAGATATTGTATATAAAATCATGTAATAGAAATTACTATGTAGGGAGGAACCACCTACCCTTTTTTGGCCACAGACCAGGAACAGATTTTTTTGTAATTTTGGATCACAACACTATATTAAAGCATTTAAGAAGTATGTAAACAATTTAACCTCATTTATTTTTATCAGTAAAAAAAGATAATATGATACAGAGATAATTGAATGTTTGAAGTGCTACACCCAAAGTAGTTGTAGAAGTAGTAGTAACCTCATGTTTAATCCAAGAAAGAAACAAATTTTTACTGTGATTGTGTATTGTATTCATATATAGAGTATAAATAAATTCAGCCCAGCTACTGAGATTGCCTGCACTTTTTTGATACTTGCATTCAAGACTTGGATAGGTGTAGACGGGCCCTAAGGCCAGGCTGTAATTCTCGCAGCCAGGTTATATCTAGAATTTTTACTAGCTGGTACAAAGTCTGTAATTGGAAAAGATTTGACCAGATTTGTATTATTTAAAAAAATTGAAGTAAAGTCAAACTTAAAATAAAAGAATACGGTTACACAGGGGCAGCTTAATCAATTGTCTGTATTGCCTAGGTTGTTCAATAGCCTGTAAGGACAAGTAGATATTTTCATGAATTTACTTTATAAATGTCATACGGATAAGTTAACAAATGCTTCAGATAAAAACAGACTAGATATATAAATATTGCTGTGTTTCTACTAGGATACTGAAGGGAGTGGCCTTGATGAAAATGTTGAGGTTGACAACACACATACTGATGATGAAGACTTTGACGTGGAAGCATCTGGTGATGATGACACTGAAGTTAAGGTACATGTAACAACAGAATCACCAGTTACAGATGATTATTATTACAACAACAAGAAAGGGACGTCAGATGACGAAGATGATGATTTGGAAGGAAGTGGAAGTGGAGATGGTATTGAAATTGACCCAATTGGTATGTTTTTTCTGTATAATTATATGTGGCTGTCTGCAGTGATTTTTTTTAACTTTTTTCGCAACAACCTATACCCCTGAAATTGTGAATTTTTAGCATGATAATCTGTCAAATTGTGAAAAAATAAACAAGAATAAATCATCTCCTGTAGCCACTTTATTCATAAATTTAATAATTATGTTCATAGTTTAAGCTTTCTTCTTTTTATTCCCTCAAATATATTAATCAAATTCTCAAAATTGTCATTCGTGAGTTCATTATTTTGTTTGGTACTGAAAAGCAATCCTGCCAATTGTGAATTTTTTACACATTTTTGTGAATATTTTATGTTTTTTGGCATTGTGAAGAGGCCTTATTTCGGGGTCAAAATCAACCAAAAAAGAATCACTGGTCTGTCAACAATTATTCAAAATTTACAGTTTAGCTACCATTGTTACTCATTCAATATGATTGAAATGGGATAAGTCAGGACAATTAAAGGGTCTCATCTTTCATATAGGTTTAGATCATAAGAAACCGCATCAGCAAAATAGCTTTAAAGTGAGTTATATTATTATAATAGCCAAATAGTTGGCTGGATGGCAAAATGGCATCTTTAAGTAAAAAGGACTTCTTTTGTTGTTGTAACTGTTGTTGTTGTTATAGTTTTCGTTTTTATTCCAAATTGAAAATTGTATAAATTTTGGCCTGTTTAACATTGTGCAGATTTTTTTCCCTAGGCTTTTCTTCCCACAAAAAATTCATAGCCTTGAACTGGCTCTATTGAACTTTAAAGTAAAGTTTAAGTTCAGCTACATAACACCGTTTTATACTGAAACATCAGCATGATGCAAAGTGTTTTTAAATAGGGTCGTGTGTTTATGTATGTATATATGTAAATTATATTTTATTTACACCATGCACACTGTCGCCTTTAGTTCACAATTTTTGTAAAGAATGTATTGAGTTTTGTTATATATATTTGATATCATAGGTTAATAGGATTTGTTCATTTATTCGAAAGTTTATTTTTGTTTTATATTCAAATTGTGAACATTACAATAGGTTATACAGGTTTTTATGCCCCCACAAGGTGGGGAGCATATAGCGTTGAACTTGTCTGTCCGTCCGTACATCTGTCCTTACGTCCCAAAATCTTGTGAAAGCAACTCCTCTTAAACGGGATGGCAGATTTTGCTTAAACTTTCAGGGATGAACAACCTTAATGTGTAGATGGTAGTAAAGGAAGGAATTTTTTGCTGCGACCAAATTTAACAGAATTATGGCCCTTTGTTGATTTTTCACTTTATACCATATAGAAATTTTGTGAACGCAACTCCTCTTAAACCGGATGGCAGATTTTGCTTAAACTTCCATACAGATATGCATGCTCTTGTTTACGAGCACATCTGTACAGTGGGGGCATCTGTGTCCTTTGGACACAGTTCTAGTTTATAAGACCAATAACATTGCTGGTTATTGTTGGGCTTCACTTGTATTTAGGTAAGACTAGTCACAAGTAAGGGGTGTCCATGACTTAGTGGTTAGGGATGTTTACTTCAAACCACTTACCCCACACCACTGTTGGTTGGAATCCTGACAGCGACTTTGGGTTGTTTCATGTGAGGAGCTATCCAGCTAACTTATGTAACATTTGAGCTTCTACTAAGCTGCCAGAATGTGCCTAAAATTATACACGAAGGCACCTAAGGTCTTCCTCTACCAGTAAAGCTTGAAAGTTGCAAACTTGTAAAAAAAAACCAGCCTAATTATTGAAATAGGACCTGACAAATTACATGATATCATGTCAGGGACAAAGATGCTTAAGCTCTGGTGTTCAGAATAGAAGATTATGTATGTTCAATTCTTTGTAGTCGTATCCATTGCACATGCTTTTCTACAAATCAATACCATATTAGCAAAGTACTAAGTGTTTATCAACTGACCATTAAGGTTTCCATTTAAGGAGAATACAGTCTGTGCCAAGACTAGAGCACATGTACATATATGAATATTTGTTCCATTTATATGATAAATAAACAGAATCAGTATGGAATAGAATGTGTATGTGTATATGGAATCAATTAATCTTTTACTAAACTAAGATAAAAGAGCTTATTGTTCTCTTTCTAGGCAGAATTTTTTTTTATTACTTCATTATAACAGTCTGCTGGGACAGGCTGGATGATGTACAGTGGTTGTTTGTATATTAACTGAAAAGAGTGGAAATCATTGATAAAGCTAGGAGCCATGCTATACAATATTTTTCATCCCTCATTGATTGTTGTAAAAACAAAATCAATACAGTTTTTATTGAAGTGTAACCTTGTAACAGATCAAAGCTTATCATGCAAAAACCAAACACTTCTATATATCAAACATATGTTACATTGTAGAAGTCTTACTTTACTGATACTGTGTTGTGTAACTGACACTTAGCATGCTTTTAATTTGGAGCAGCCCACTGTCAGTTTTAGGGAGATCACAATCCAGATTTTGAAAATTAGTCGGCCTTCAGTATGGACACTTAAGCCTTTCTTTGGGGCAGATTGCACAGATGTAGGTGGTTGGATAGGCCAAGATATGACCAAAAATTCACACAAAAAATCCAGAAAAGAACAGACTCCAAATTTAAAGCACAAGTACATTATATCCAGTAAGAAAAGCAGAAGACTTCAAACTTAGATTACGTTTCTAATGAAAATATAAAGAAGTAAACCATAATTTGTTAAGAGAAATATAATTATTTAGCAAGTTTAATAACACTAATTATAATACAATAACTTAGATCAGTCTATGCTAACTAGCTTCTGGGAATTCTTTAAATGAAGTTGTAATTTTTATATGGTATAACGAGAATTGATGTGCTCTCGAAATTGTATGGAATTGTGGAGCCTTTTGTCTGGTCTATATATCTCCATACAAAATTATCTTCATGTAAATTTAGTAAACATCTTAGGAATGGACAATTCTGAAGTTATTCAATAAAATATTTTGTGTCTTGAATAATCGGGACAGTAATATTACGAGAGATCAATATCATGTTGCGGAGCATTTGGTTCATGGGGCATGAAGTTTCTTTTCAATTTAATCAGTTGTTTAACCCATCGTTTGAAGTCTCGAGTGTTTTTAAACAAAATGGCTAAACTGGCCGGCAACTATGTAAATAAAAAAGCCAGTGAAAAGTGATAGTTTAAACGCTGTATGAGACAAGATCCTATGTTAATGCCGTAAAATTGGGCTAATTTTGTGAGTATTTAATCTGCATAGATTTTGACCAAAGTGGTAATTTGATAGGTTGATATAAAAGAGTTTGTAACTTGCTATCCATTGTACAATGTATAGATAGAGTATAATTAAAATTACCAGTCTACAAGGCTGTAACTGGCACTGTGATATATTAAGCTGTTTATTTTGCAAACCTCCAAACTGAATTAAAAATACCAACTGGTCAAAGATACAAATGTTAATTGAAATAATATCAGCTCAATGAAGGAACAAAAGTTATATACAAAATATTGTCCTGTTTTGTCCGAAAAAGGATACAAAATATATTAAACATTATTGTTAAAAAAAAGATGTTGAAATATTTAAAGAAATATTGACTAAAATAAAAAATATTGTCCTCTTAGTTGGTACAATACAATATTAGAGATAGTGGCCCAACAACTGTCCCTACAATAATACCGACATTGTATTGATATATAGTACACATATTGCTCAGGTGTCCATGAGATATCGTATTTTGTCAAGTACCCTGGTATGGTTAGGTTTCCACATATTTGTTTTGTACACTGCAGGTATGTTGGTATGCATTGTTATTGTATTGTTAAGACAGTAATATGAAACTGACTGCTCTTTCAAGTATTCTTGTTTAACCTTTACCCCCTACAGAAATTTTGTAATGGACTTCTCCTCATCCTAATTCAGAATAGTCCATTGTGAATATGAAGGGTTGAAAAAGCAAAGCAGTTATTATCAGTTTAAAAAGTAACACTTTAAATAAAAAAAAAAATTGCACCACTTTTAAAAGAATGGAACTTGCAATTGATTGAGTTGACCCTTCCACTGCTGGATCCCAGCCTGACAAGCTGTTAGCAAGGTTAGCCTGGAAATCATTCTATGATGTCTGACCAGTCTCTTTGCTTTTCAAGTTTTGGCTGGTCAACTTTTAATTATGCTCCCCGAAAAAATTTCGGGGGAGCATATAGTCGCCGCCTTGTCCGTCCGTCCGTCCGTCTTTCCGTCCGTCCGTCCGTCCCCTTTTCTTGTCCAGGACATAACTTTGAAACAACAAGAGGTATCAACATGAAACTTTGTAGGTAGATAGATCTCATTGAGTAGGTGTGCAGTGCACAAGAACCGTAACTCTGCCTTGCCTAATTTTTGAATTATTCCCCTTTGTTTATTTTTACACTTTGAACTTTGTCCGGGACATAACTCTAAAAGTATAAGAGGTATCAACATGAAACTTTGTAGGTAGATAGATCTCATTGAGTAGAAGTGCAGTGCACAAGAACCGTAACTCTGCCTTGCCTAATTTTTGAATTATCCCCCTTTGTTTATTTTACACTTTGAACTTTGTCCGGGACATAACTCTAAAAGTATAAGAGGTATCAACATGAAACTTTGTAGGTAGATAGATCTCATTGAGTAGGTGTGCAGTGCACAAGAACCGTAACTCTGCCTTGCCTAATTTTTGAATTATCCCCCTTTGTTTATTTTACACTTTGAAATTTGTCTGGGACATAACTCTAAAAGTATAAGAGGTATCAACATGAAACTTTGTAGGTAGATAGATCTCATTGAGTAGAAGTGCAGTGCACAAGAACCGTAACTCTGCCTTGCCTAATTTTTGAATTATCCCCCTTTGTTTATTTTACACTTTGAACTTTGTCCGGGACATAACTCTAAAAGTATAAGAGGTATCAACATGAAACTTTGTAGGTAGATAGATCTCATTGAGTAGGTGTGCAGTGCACAAGAACCGTAACTCTGCCTTGCCTAATTTTTGAATTATT